AAGTACAAATGCAAGTATATATTAATAGTAAAAGAAAAGACTGCCCGAGTATATACCAAAATATTAATAAAAGTTTTTTGGTGATGGAAAGATGGGATTACAAGAACTTTTATTCCCTTTTCTGACTATGATGTTATATAATCAGCAAAAAAAAAGCAAAATAGAAGGCACTTTAAAAAATAGGAGAAATGTCATTAAAAAATTCAACATAAGTACTTTATATCTGATATAAAGTATTTACAACATAAATATCCATTAATAGAAGACTGGTTATATAAAATAAATCACATCATGTTGAAATAACATATAGTCAATTAAGATCATATTTTCTAACTGTGATATAACATTTCCCTTAAGCCATAATAAAACTTTCTTCTAGCTAAGTGACAAAGGGAGGGGAAAAGAAGAGATGAACAAGAAAGAGCAGGTAAAATGCACGAAAAGACAAAAACAAAAGAAAATCCAATACAAAAAGCATTAAAAGAAATAAATAGAAATATTTAACTTTAGTAAAAGGTACAAAACCTTCAGGAGATGAAGAGGAACCTTTATACACCTAACTGTGCAGCTTGGAAATATGTGAAGCAAAGATCAATAGAGATGCAAGAGAAACTGGTCATCCACAGACCCTGGGGGTGGCAAGGGGGACGTATAAATCCAAAGGTAAACAGATAACACAAAGATAAGGCTGGCAGACTGTGAGTAACGCCAAATTAGGCTCAGAGTGTTTAAGCTTCATAGACAGACCTAGAATAACACTGAAAGGAAATTATAAAATATTAACAGGGGTTGTTTGGGAGTGGAATCTTTCTCTTTCCTCTTTTCTGTATTTTTCCATAATGAACACCCACTTTTATAAGGGAAAAGAAATACAGTTCAAAGAGAACAGAGGGCTCAGTTGCTGTGTAGGGAACACAGCATCCTAGCAAGCCCGGGACTCAGCCTAAATGAGTCCACCAGCCACGTAGCTGTGACAGGGGAGGTGGCCTCGGCGAGCGACTGACCGGCCAAGGCAGCTCGCCTCCCGCCTTCCTCACTGCACACAAGGAGGGCACACATGCCCTTCCAGAGCGGGGCAGTCCAGGGAGGGGGTCTACAGGCACGGAGGGATCCGGATATCTGTGCTCCAGTCGACCAGCAGCGCTAACCTCCCCGGGCAGAAGTGGATGCAGCGCCATGCCGTCGGCGCTCCCTCTCCGACCTCCACAAATGCCGCCTTTGTGCTGGGGCCCAAGACCCGGGTCCACAGGGGCACGGGGTGGGGGTAGGGAGGAGGCCACAGAGAACAAGTCCTGCAGTGTCTTCCTGAACTGTGGCTCCAAGGACCACTCACATTTGCGACACGGCCCTTAACCTTTTTGGAAGAGGCTGCCAGCCCCGAGCTCTCCTGACGCCCTCCTGGGAAGCCAGAGGGGGGCCTGCTCAGTGTTCTGTTCCTGTGCAGTCACTCAGTCGTGTCTGCCTCTTCTCCACCCCACGGACTGCAGATGCCAGGCTTCCCTGTCCATCACCATCTCCCGGAGTTTGTTCAAACTCATGTCCGTTGAGTCGGTGATGCCATCCAACCACCTCATCCTCTGCTGCCCTCTTCTTCTGCCTTCAATCTTTCCCAGCATCAGGGTCTAAGTGTTCTACTATCAATTAAAGCATTGGGTTTGGGCCTAAGTCATCTCTTCTCCTACGATAAAACGAATGCATCCTGAGAGGCCGAATGAGCATCTCTAAAGGCCAGGAGCCAGGGGCGAGGATACTTTCACAGAGAAGCAAGCTGCTCCATTCCAGCACTGTGCTGTTTCGGGAAGTCAGAGAAAAAGCACACACACACATGGGTAAGGAATGAATGACTGCCGAGAGGTTTGGCTCGTGGCTTCTTTTTCTGTCTCTCCCATTTTAGAAGGGGCATCAGGACCACCAGAGGCAGAACGAGGAAGGTCGTGAAGCTGGCACGATAGTACTCCCTCTAGGGCCCCCTCCCACATCCTCCCTGCTCCTCAGGCTACATCAACACCTATCCCGCTCTAGCTGGGGAAGGAAGCAATAAAGCCAGGAGGCAATTATTGGGATGCTAGGACTGAAAGTAATTTTGCAGAATTTGCACTGCATGTGCCAAGGTGACTTACAGGGAGATAGGCGGGGGCAAGATGGCATACTCCAAGCTTTGCAGACCATCCTGCAAACGAAGCTGTCTAACTCTGCATACAACCTCAGGGGCGTATTTCCATTTATTGAGCCCCACCAAAGACACACTCACAACATAAAGACACTGTCCAAGTTCTCTCTGTGTTTGTGGACATAACCATTATGAATCATTATTCTGTTTCTGTCTGGTTGTTTCTGCCCAATAAACAGAACCTGGGATTAGCTCTTTATCCTGGTATTTTAAACAAGTTAAGTTAAAAATTATTTTGCCAAAAAAAATCTTTGAGGTTTTAGAAACCAATATCCACATGTCAGATCCAGCCCCTCAAGTCTGGCCTCAGTCTGTTGGATTTCAGACATGGCTCGATTTATCTTTGCCCCAGTGCTCTAGGTCAGGGCAAATTTGCAAAGTGATTAAATATTTCCTGCAGTGTTCCCTGTGTGGGATCTGTGTAGGGTAGAAATAAGAGAAAAAAATGAAAGGTTTCCTGGGGAGCCAAAGGAAAGATTTTGAAGGAATGACAATGGAAGATGCACTTTGTGTTGGGGCTGGGCTGCGGTGAGGAGGCATAGACAGCGCTCTCCCGGGAACCGTGAGCACAAATGTGGAGCCTGCAAGCCAGGCAAGCTGATGAAGCTGAGTGAAGAGGCCAGGTGTTGGGAGGATAGCTGGGAGAAGTGGGGACATCGGTAGGTGAATGCTGACTGGATATTTGGATACGGCTCATAAGTGCCATGTGAGAACACAGGCCCAGCACTGCGAGGCGTTCCAATTCCTCAAAAGAAGCCTGAAGTCCAGACTGTTATGAGAACTCTTTTGATTTCTAAATGTGAGCTCAAAACAACGTGCAGCCAAACAAAACACAACCGGGGGCCAGATGTGACCAGAAGGCAGCCCTATCTAGGATGTAAGTGGCATGAAGGTAGGGGGTAGAGCCCGCCTAAACACTTGTGGAGTGAGCAAGGCCCTTCCTGGGGCACAGGGTGGACTGTCCTCGGAGAGACAAGGGGAAGAGACGGCGGGCAACACAGAGACTGTAATCAAGGGAGGAAGTAACTCCGGTGACCTCGAGCCACCACCACTGAGATGGAAAGGAAAGGGTGAAATGGCAATCGACAGGCTGAAGAATTTTTGATAAGCAGAACTCAGTGAAAGACCAGATGTGCGGGGCTAGGGCGGTGATGAATCTTCCAGGGGAAGCCTGTGATGAACTTGGCCAGAGGGCTGAGAGACTGGTCACCAGGGAGAGAAGGTAAACACATTTTTCTTCATGAGCTTCAAAGCCCTTCATCTGGCTCCCCAGGATGACCTTATTTTTTTTTTTTTCCTCCTCTGTTCTCCCACAAAGGGGATCAGGGGATAGCCAGGAGCCCAGAGGCTCTAGCACAGAGCCAAGCCTATAGATAATGAGATGAGGTATTCACGCAGGAGAAATATTAGCGGAGCTAAGAGAGGACTGCGCAGGGCAGGGGACGAGCACTGAGGGTGGATAGGAAAGAGGAGGGAAGGGTTTCGGCCGCTTGGTGCGGCAGCAGGGACAGGAGCGGGTGAGGGAGACTTCAAACAGCTCTCAAATCGTTGGTGTTCACAGCTTGGGACATGCCTTGGGTGCTGGCCCACAACTTTCTTAATGACTCTGAAAGTCAAGACAAAAAATATTGCTAAGCAAAAGTATTCAGGACATGGAAGGAACTGGAGGACTCAAGTCTACTCAGCTGAACAAGGTGAGCCTTTTCATGATATGAAAAGGATTTTTATCATACCGGGTGCCCAAGGCCTTTGGAGAAAGGAAAAAACCAAAAAAAGCTCAATTTTCACTCTAAAAGATAAACTTTATCAGGAGTTTATGAACAAGAACTACAACTACCTGTTAACCAATGAATTTTTACAGTATTTAATATTTACACCTTAGCTGGTTAGGAAGTCAGTGATTACGAACCAAGGGCCAAGGAACCATACTAGGTCCTCTAAATGTACTACCTCTTAAGTCTTCACAGTGATTCTCTAGAGGAGCTGGCAGCACCATCCCCAGTGTATCCACATGGAATAACGCAAGACCTAGAGAGGTGTGGCATTACCCGCTCAAGGGGACAAACTCTTTGAGGGACAGAGCCAAGGCCAGAAGTGAGAGACTTCTACTCCCAGGCCCTTTTCCTCAGTCAGGGAGCAACAAACATTTTCTCTAACGGGTCCAATAGTAAATGTTTTTGGTGTTGTGGGCAATATGGTTGGGGTCACAACTATTTGACTCTGCCTTTGTAGGGTCATGGCAGCTACAGACAACACGTTGACACTTAGGCACGCCTGTGTGCCCGCACAACTTCAGCTACAGACACTGCAATTTCCAATCATCTTCATGGGTTATGAAATATTCCTCTTTGGATTGTTTTTCCGCAGCCAATTTAAAAAGCAGAAATCATTCTCAGCTCCAGGGCCATAAGAAATGAGTGGGTGGACTGGGTTTCTCCTCACATGCTGTTAGGCTCTAAGCCACTCGTCGAAGCCACTAGGCTCTCTTACCCTCCACCTGAGGCCAGGTGCTGGTCTTCTTGGGAGGCACATAGATATTTTAGGACCAAACGGACACCTATGAAAGTACATCTGGATGGGACCTCTGGAACAGAACTGTCAGCAAAGACCCAACAGAGAGGATGCCTCCAGTTACACCTTGAAAGACTCTGTCTGACACCATCTTTAAAACATCTCTCTCTCTTTCAGTCTGATCACCTGCTCTCTTCTACTCAAATAATAAGCATTGATTTAGGTCAGACTGAAACCAGGGGAGGTTCAGGTTGGACAGAGGTGTCTCTTCCCACACAACAGGGTTTTTTTTGCAAACATGAGCCGACCGTGTCCTTACCTGCAGGGTTTGGCTGAAGCGCTTTAACGGCGTGGCCTTCACAGGTGGGATGAGGTTGGCAAGGGATGTGACTCTGGAAAGAGGTTTGACTCGTTTATTACTAGGCTCCTAGGGTTAAAAAAAAAAAAAGGAAACTGTCAAGGTCAATTCCAAAGAGAATGTAACTCCACCACACAGTCATGTCTCACTCCATGAGCTGCCGGCTGCATACCACTCTGTAGAATGGAAATGGTACCCATCTCACTCCTGCTGTGTGAAGGTGACTGGTGAGCCAGGGAAGGGTAAATAGTCGGGGTGGTGGTGCGGGGGATGCGGTCAACAGAGGCAGTGTCTGAGCAGACAGCAAATAGGCAAATTCCTTCACCCCAACGGTGTCTGCCGGCTTTTAAATCAGAGGCTCCCACTTAAGAGAGTCACTCTCTCCAACCCCTCCTGCAGACAAAAGCTGCCTCCAATTTCCCATCCAATGACCTTGTCGGGCGGTTGTCTTTTGATGCTTCTGGTTTTATCTTTTTAAAAAACCTTTTCTCCACCTTGCCTGAAGCCACTGTCCAAATTTCTAATATGCAATGGCTTTTCTAAAGCACAGAGACTCACTCTTTCTTTTAGTACACCAAATTAAAAAAAAACATTTTAAAGAAGTTATTCTATTACTAGGCTGTTAAGAAAGCCTCTTTGTACCTACAGTATATTTGAAATGCACATATTAATACTTTTAACAACTAGACAGCAAAAAGAAAATATACAGAGAGAAAACCCTACCATGATCACTAGTTTTTATACTATACCTAGCCACAAGTTATGAAAATTATCACCACATAAAACATGTGCAAATCTGCAAGTTACCCCAAACGAAACTGATGGGTGGGGGAGCCTACCTAAACCAATGACTCTGCAGATTACAGTTACATAAATAAAAACAAGAGGCTGTGGTTAAGAGAGGGATGACAGACAAAACACTTGACAAAGAGAACAGTTACCCTTGTCTTCCTAAGCTCCATCTGACCTGCAGGAGATGCTGGACAGCACATGAAGACACCAAATTTTGATGGAAAAAGCCACACTTGCCAGTGGTTGTGCTGAAACTCAACCATTTCCAGAGGGAGCCTCAAGGTGTTCATCTTTCTTTTTCAGCCATTGCCTTCAAAGTTTTGAGAGTCAAGATTCTCCAGAATATCCCTGCAAGGTGTTTTGAACATAGTAGGTGCTTGGAAAAATCTTGCCTGAATCTGGAGTTCTGCTGAGACACTCTCATGTCATTTTATGCCCTTGACAGCCTTAGAAAACAGAAGATTCCTCTGAAACAGACCCAACCTTTCTGGCAAATAGAAAAAAATCTAAAGGCTGTTTAAAAAGCACAAAACAATTGCACGATGTAGCCAGGAGTGACTTCATGGTTCCTCAAAGCAAATACTTTTCCAAGACGGAGAATGCATCCGAGCTGCTGGGGACTTCTCCAGTCTCTTGGCATGCTGAGCTGAACAGACAGAAGGCAACTCTCAGAACACCAGGAAGGCTTAGTTCCAAAATGCAAAGGATGAATCTCTCAACACAAGAGATATCATATTATAATTACGTAAATGCTGAAGACAAAGATCCAATTGCCCCTCTGTTTCCAGGTGACAGTGTCCTTCAAGGATGCTTCCTGTCCAGTGCCTGGCTCTTGAGTATCTGTGCCCAGAGGAGGATTTTTAAAATATTTTTTACGTCAGAGCTGCACCACCGGCAGGCTTACTGAATAGACACACACACACACACACACACACACATACACGCACGCACAGTCTCTTGAGCATCCCCTGAATTTTTCTAAATGGCTCCTGCTTTGGCTGGAAATGCCAGAGTTTTGATATATCACCTTTGGTGGCACAAACTGCATTGCAGCAAGTGAGTTTTCCTAGGGGAGCAGGATGTGGTCTCATTTACTCCCGCCATGTACCTCAGAGTCTGTTGACTCCCAGGTCTCTGATTTATTAATGGCTAAAAATCCCGGGTCACAGGTTCCATATCAAATTGGAGAGGTTGAAGGGCAAATGCCAGCTGGGTTATCTTGCTTTAAAAAGAGAGCAGGGAGCCTTGCATGCTTGGCGGGATGAGGGAAGGTTCGGCTTTGTTTCATTTGCTGTGTCATTTTTCTAAGGCTCCGCTGACTCTGCTGCCCATTTTACATGAGCCGGTCAGCTGTGTGTTTTCTGCACTGCTATAAGAGGAATGCACAGTGCAAATGTCGGCCCCTCTGCAGCTTGTGCCCAGTGTTGCTGCATGAGATTGTAATTAAACCTCCTGTCCTAAGGCTTCACCCACTTGGAAGTAAGCTCTGGGCTGCTCTCTGGCAACGTGACATTCCCAAGTAATGAAAAATCGAAACAGAAACCATTGCTGCACGATGCACTCGATCCCGCAAAGTGGGCAGGTGCAATTTCAAACCAGAACATTTACAGGTTATTAGATCTATGGAGAAGGCTTTATGCCTGACCCACAAGAGTGAAGTATGAATTATGGTGTTCTCCTTGAGGGCTTCAGTGAGAATAGGAGATTAAAAACATTCTTGGCCTAATTTGATTTTTCTTTTCCATTTACTCAGTATGTCTCCAGCTACATGTTACCACTGTCTAAAAAGAGCCCTCAGGGAAAATGTTTCCAGATTCCAGTTAAATAGCTGTACTGAGAACCAGCAAATACAATTCCAGGGATGCTTTTAGGCTTTATAGAGAGATGACAGAACACAACCTGCAGAAGCTCCCTAATCCAACAACTCAGCTGCCAAATGAAGCTGGGCAAGGTTACTGCTAAACCCACTTTCAAGGGCAGACTATACCCTCACCCTGCAATTTTAAGACAGAACAGGAGGGCATCTCACTAAAGAGGTTAAAAAAAATAAGCAAAAAAGAACAATGCAGTGTGGGCAGTATTTCTTGAATAACAGACTTGTTGCATGTTTTCCATATCTCACACCTTTTTTTTTCTTATCTTATTGCACTGGCTAGGACTATCTGTATATTGTTCATTACAAGCTGAGAGAGTGGGTACCACAGTCTAATTCCTAATTATTAAGTAATTATTATGAAGGTTTCATCATTAAGTATTATACTCGCTAAGCGCATGGAAGAGATACGCTTTATCAAGTAAGGCAGTTCCTTTCCATGCTAAGTTTGCTGTGAATTTTTATCATGAATGAGTACTGACTTTTATCAAATATTTTCTCTTCATCTTTCTAGAGGACAAGGAAGGGAGGAAAAAAGAAGGAAGAGGGTGGGAAGAAGGGAAGGAGAGGATGAAGAAAGACATACAGGTCATATTTTTCATAAAGGAATTGATTCAGCAATTTTAAAAGTCTCTTGTGCTTGAATTACAAAGAAAAGAGAATAAAGCACTGCATGTAATTTTATTTTTAATGTGAGATTTCATTGAATATATTTTAATAATCCTTCCCTAGGGGATACAGTTTTTGTCCTTTCCTCATTTTTCTCTCTAAGACATAAAAATGCCCATCATATCAATATAATTTGGCACTATTTTTATTCCTCCAAAAAAAGGTTCCATTCTAACAGACACAGCATACAGGAAACCATTCATTTTCCCTGCACCTCGTTTCTGTGGCCAGAGTGGGGTTGGAGAACAGTGGAAGGGTCTTCCACATCACCTCTGAAGCTTCCCTGACACTCTGGTTTTACTGAGCCACAAACATGGCCCAGGAGGGGCCAGATACGCAGCCTTTAATGTAGAACTGACCACTCCTCTGCAGGGCAACACTGTCCTTGGATGCTCTACCTCTGGCCAGGAGCTAGGGAGAGGTGAGAAGCAACTGTGCTGGCAGGTGCTTCTGTCCGTGAGTTGATGGAGTAATTTTTTATTTTTTAAATGTCTTTCAAATGTTTAGAAACACCAGGAATCCTTTCTGGGGCTCCATCTGTGAGACAGGAGATGTGCTGGGAATTGCACACCCAGGCATCATGTGTCACCCACCCTGAACCCTCTAGGAGGCTTTCATCATCCTCATGTTTTAAACAGGAAGTTTTGATCTGTGGGTGATGGAAAAGCTCTAGCAGTATTAACTAAGAATAATGAGTGCATAGTCATTGCAGGGACTCTTCTCTATGCTTTACAGATAATTAGTAATTTATTTCTCCTAACATCTCTGCAAAAGTGAAAGTCACTCAGTTATGTCTGACTCTTTGAGACCCCATGGACTGTCCATGGAATTCTCCAGGCCAGAATACTAGAGTGGGCAGCCTTTCCCTTCTCCAGGGGATCTTCCCAACCCAGGGGTTGAAACCAGGTTTCCTGTATGGCAGGCAGATTCTTTACCAGCTGAGTCACAAGGGAAGCCCAAGAACACTGGAGAGGGTAGCCTATCCCTTCTCCAGGGGATCTTCCTGACCCAGGAATCGAACCGGAGTCTCCTGCACTGCGGGCGGATTCTTTACCAACTGAGCTATCAGGGAAGCCCAAGATCTCTGCAAGGTAGCCACTATTGTGATCATCATTTTAAAGACAGGGAAAGCAAAAAAAATAAAAATAAAATAAAGACAGGGAAAGCTAAAAAAAAAAAAAGATGGCTAGGATTTAAATGTAGGCAGGCTGGCTCCAGAGCCCATGCCCTACTTTAGGGTTTGGTGATGTTTTTCAGTGAGGGGACAGATGGCTAAACATTTCAGACTTTGAGGGCTGTCTAGCCTCTGTCACAACTATTCATCTCTACCATCAGCCATAAACAGTATGTAAATAAGTGAATGTGGCTGTGTTCCATTAAGCTTTCATTTATAGACACTAAAATTCAAATTTCATATAATTTTCACATGTCCCAAAGTATTATCCTTCTGCCTTTTTCAACCATTAAAAAATAGAGAAACCGTTCTTGAGGGCCTAAGGCCCCCTCTTTTCCCCCCTGTTCATTAGAAAAAGGCATATGAGTTTTGTTGGAGATTCTCCAATTTTCAACCAAGTATTTTTCTCAGTAGAGGACACTACAGAAGATTCTAGAAATTTTTTTTAATTTTAATTGGAGGCTAATTACTTTACAATATTGTGGTGGTTTTTGCCATATATTCACATGAATCAGCCACGAGTGTACATGTGTTCCCCATCCTGAAGCCCCCTCCCACCTC